CATATTTTTTAAAAAAGTTAGTCGTGAAAACATAGCATCTATTTATCCACACAAAAATGGCATCCACACATTTATCCATCTTGAGTGGAACAACTGGCAGTCAGCTCACATGTCATGGCATTTGACAGAGCAATGCATACAGATCTAGTAAATGTTCTCCACAACATGGGATAGAGCAAAATATACATGTTTCAGTGGTAGCTAGTATAATATACATACATTATACATTGGTCTCCCTTTGAAGAGCACTTCAGCTAGTTCAGAAGTTTCAGTTCTTTCAGAAGTTTGCTATACGATACAAATGAGAGCTGGTGGATTGAAATATGTAATTCTGATATTAGATTAGAGATGGGCACGAAACTCAGTTCAGAGGTTCATGCTGGTTTATCAGTGCAGCACCACAGTTGCTGCGTGTCCCCTTCCCCCACTCCCTGCCAGCTCCCACCACCAGCCGGCACCACGCTGCTGTTCTCCTGCTCTTCATGTGATCGTCCAGTCGCAGCAGGAGCACAGATTTCCCTGCCCCATCTCCTCATCAAAGTGGGTGGCTGCTAGAGGAGGCAGAGAAGGCAGGTCTCTGCTCCTGCTGTGACTGGACGAGCATGTGAAGAGCAGGAGAAAAGCAGCACAAGACAGCGTGGGTGGCTGCTGGAGGAGGCAGAGAAGGCAAGTCTCTGCTCCTGATGTGACTGGACGAGGATGTGAAGAGCAGAAGAAAAGCAGCACAAGACAGTTGGTGAGTGGGGTATCTGACTGGGGTGGGTAGGGGAAGGGAATGTGCAGAACCTGTGGTGCCACACCAATAAACTGGCACAAACGTCTGAATTGAGGTTCATGTCCATCTCTATATCAGAGTGGGGTATCTGACTGGGGTGGGTAGGGAAAGGGAATGTGCAGAACCTGTGGTGCCACACCAATAAACTGGCACAAACGTCTGAATTGAGGTTCGTGTCCATCTCTATGTCATCTGCACTGTTTGCTCATTTGTTTTGAACACCACTCCAAGTGTTGTTTTTAACCGTTAAAGCTCCCAATTGCCTGCGACAATAGTAGTTTAAGAACTGCCTCTACCTGCATGAAACTTAGAGAGTGGCCATAGCTTAATGGTAGTGCATGCGCTGCGCATGTAGAAAGTCCCAGGTTTAATACTTAGCGTTTCCTGATGCCTTTGCCAGAAGCATTGCTGCTTAGCTGTGACTGAGTAGTTCCCCAAGTTTAGCCCCCCCAGCTATCACTGTACTAGAACTGTTATCCCTGACCATGGGCGAAGCTGGGACAATGGGAGTTGCAGTTCAACATTAGGTCATCCAAAGTTGATAATTATTGTGGAGTGCGCTAAACTAGATGCTCCCACTGTCTGATTCAATATAAGGCACTTTCCTATGGGCTTGCCCAACCCATGAGTTGATCCACTAAGGCCCTACTGTGTATTAACCCAGGATTTGAAGAATTAAGAACCGGCTGAAACAACATCATTTTTCGAACTGATCATCAAGGAAAAACTTGGAACCACATGACATGGTTCCTTCTATTACCCTAAATAAAGTATGTTAGAAAGCAGTTTATGGCCAGAAGGGTATCATAGGGAAATACATCAGACATTGCTCAGAGGTCCAGTGGAATCAACTGGGCCACACTTCTGTCTGTTTTCTAACAAAGATTCTCCACCAAGGCAACAGTGCAATCTGTCCCCTAATAAGGCCAGAATCCAGAAAGAAATGGCTCTAGATAATGGTTGTTGTGCGTTTTTCGGGCTCTTGGGCCGTGTTCTGAAGGTTGTTCTTCCTAACGTTTCACCAGTCTCTGTGGCCGGCATCTTCAGAAGACAGCACTCTAGATAAGTTTCTGGAAACTCGCCATCCAATGTCTTCATGTATTATTATTGTTGTTGTTGTTGTTGTTGTTGTTGTTGTTGTTGTTGTTGTTGTTGTTGTTGTTGTTCCAAATGCCACTTATACAAACTAAAAAGGTGCTTGTTTGTAAGAGCAAATCAGAAAGCTTTGAAAGCTATCAGTACAAGTTTCAAAATATGGCAACCTTTTTTGTGAATACCGTATTTAAAGACCTTGAAGAACTGAGAAAAAGACAAGCTACTAGTATTCCATAATGGAAAACTATAGTGGAATTAGGCAAAAAAAATCTATGCTCCTAAACAACATTATCAAAATTACTGTAATTACCAATATTCAGTTGGGTAGGTTCTTTGAATATTAGAAGCAACATTGCCCGCAGTACCAACTGCCAGTAAACATTAGCAGGGATCTGCTATTTTGCTTATGTGAGCTTCCCCACAGGCGTCAGGTTACCCATTCTGTGTGATGAATGCTGGACCAGATAGGCACTTTTCATATTCTTCTCCAGTTGGCCACCAGTGAAAACAGATCAGGGGACTAGGTATGCCTTTGGTCATGTCTGCTTTACCTTTGCTTATGTTCACTTTGCACTTTCCTGATGAGAGCAGAGGCTGGGTATTAGCTGTTTACTTCACATCTCCTGGCCGCTCTCCTGGTGGCCAACTATAGGGGTAATTGATAGCATCTTACAGAGACAGAGCAAAGATTTAAATGCACATTGGGTAACTTCTCACTATTATTCCAGACCAAAGTTTCCAGGCCTTTTGAAACCCTACGGTACTTGTCACTGCAAGTCTCCTGTGCTAAATGTCAGACTGAATGTTGTACTAACAGCCCACATTGTTGTATCCATGGCATCACTGGGCTATATGAAAAAGAGCTAGACTGGAAACCAAAGTGTCGTTCAACATCCTTCCTTTTCATCCTTCCTTTGAGATTCAACAGCCATATGCGGAGGCATCACTTTTATTGTGTGAAACAAAACTAGAAAAACTAGAATATATTATTACTGATTACTTTTATAGTCTAGCTTTCCACTACAAAATGAAGTTCCAGGTGAATAACAATGATCAGACACCATTCAAACTAAACACAACTTAAAGCAATCCAAACATTAAAACTATTTAAATGGCCCAAACAATGAAATATGTCTTCATATCTTTGCTAAAAGCAGGGAGAGGTAACTGGTAGTAATTCTGAAATAGTACGTATAGGCCAACAATCAGGTTTCCAGAAGGGCACAGAACTTAGTTTTCCATGAAACCAAGAATCTCTTACAAAGTGTTTCTCTTCCCTGGCTTTCATTAAAAAACAAAAACAAAAAAACAGTCTGCTTGGAATCCTCCAAAATCAGAAATACGGGCCGATGGTTGGAACCAACCCTTCAGACTTCATTGACCACAACTCAGGGCTGATCCAGCTATATGTTAAAGTGAGGTGGTCCTTTCAGCAGAGCTAGGACTGTCCCCTGGCTACCCATCTCCAGCTGCTCATGCTTCCAGCTGCCATCACTGTAAGGACCACTTACAGGAGAGGGTGAGGAATGGTGTGTGTGGGGGGAAGAACTTCTGTCGGCATTGCCACAGGTTCTTACAGACACCATAGGTGACAATGGCATCTTCACACAACACAATACATCCAGCAGGACACAGAAGCAAACAAGATTAATCAAGTCTACCTATGCAAATGAATAAACAGGCACTACGATATAAAACTTCACAGATATATGTGATGCCTTGTTTCCCCAAAAATAAGACCTAACCTGAAAATAAGCCCTAGTATGATTTTTCAGGATGCTCGTAATATAAGCCCTACCCCCAAAATAAGCCCCAGTGAAGTGAAACCCCGCCCTCCATCATTGTGCAGCAACCAGAAGATGATGACATGACTGTATTTGAATAAATGTAGATGGTTGTACATGAAAAAAATAAAATAAAACATCCTCTGAAAATAAGCTCTAATGCATTTTTGGAGCAAATATTAATATAAGACCCAGTCTTATTTTTGGGGAAACACAGTAATACAGAACCTTGTTCTCAAGTTACCATTTCTTCAAAACCTGTGAACAAAGAGTAGATTCAAGAATGCCACTAAGAAGTTTTGGGAACAAACACCTGAGGGTGTAAACAGTTGAGCCTGCAGGGCAGGAGCACAGGCGCAAGATAAAGTTTGGCAACCTAGCTATGAAAAATAAGTAGACCTGTTCGGTATGATGGTTTGAGAAGCTATTGTTTCCATTGTATGTCTCTTGCTGAAAAAAATGTGTGATCTGGGCAGTGAGCTGAGAGAGATTCAAAGAGAGGTAAGTTCAGAAATGGCATTTCCCAAGTAGATAATGTTGTCAAACCCTTCTCCATGGTGGCAGCTCCAGGCAGAGGTCATAATGTTGTAATCTACTTACTAGATTGCTTGGCCCCAAAATAACAAGGAGCACTTCCATGGCAGTTCCATAGAGAACTGGAACTGACTCTTTCTATGAAAGTGAAATAAGGATGGCTCCTGACCAGGTCAAGTAAGGCTCTTCTCCCCAACAGTTTGGCATGAGGTGCCTCCTACCCATCCTGGTCAATGAGCCGATTGAACTGATCTACAGGCTAAGCACCTTGAAAGCAGAAGAGCGCCTTCTTGAAGGTGCCACCACATATTTCATCTGCTGAGATATATGGATGATAAAATGGGGAGGCGGGGAGTCAATGTTGGTGGTGGATGGAAACCATGTGCGATGCAGTGGCAACGCAAGCTTTCTTTCTTTTTCACAGGATGATATGTTCCTAACAGGGTGTTTCATATACCATTTTTAAAGGGTGCACTTATTGTTAAAGGATACTGATAGGTGTACCCATCAGGAGCTAGGAATGATGACAGCTCCTCACAGGGCAGTGCATTTCCTGCCATCTAAGGCATGAAAACAGCCCAGGGGGGCAGGTGGGATTTAATGGGAGGATGCTGATTGGCACACATTTCAGTCAGCATTCAAGTGCTGTGCACATTAACGGCGCTGTTTTAGGAGGCAGAACTGGGAGAGAAGAAATACCCACCTGCAGTCCCCTGGCAACACCCCCCCCCAATATGTTGCTGAAACAAACACAGCCTTGGTTTTAGACACTGCCCTTGCAGCATTCTTTACAACAACTAATTAAGACTTACCATTTTTCTTCACAGCTCCAACTAGAAGCGAAGCTTATAGACTCTGTATCAGTTGAGTAGCTGATGCTGTTCTTCATTCTGGCATAATTCTTACGCGCTAGGTATCCTCTGAAAGCTAAGCAGACATTAAGTAAAATAACATTAAACAATAATCCTTGACAGTTTTCATCACAATAAGCCGCTACGTAATTTTTGTTCCAAGTCCTAAGAAACAAGATCACATGTTGCTAGCAAGCACATCTGGAACAAACAGAATAACTGCAACACAGAAGCAGATGGCCCCACTTCCAAAGTCAAGATACTCAAGGCCACTCATGTTATTAGGGCACCTAAGGAAGACAGTCCCTGAAGAATCCCTCTCACATAAACATATACAAATCTGTGCTCCTCTTTCATGATCCCCCTAAATCCAGTGCCTAGAGACACCATCTCAGCTTATTTAAAGCAATGGTTCCCAACTGTGGGTCCCCAGCTATTCCTAGACTAAAACTCCCAGAAGCCTTCACCACTATCTGTGCTGGCCAGGATTTCTGGGAGTTGTAGTTCAAGAACACCTAGGGACCCAAGGCAGGGAACTACTGACCTACAGAATGAAAGAAGACAATAACTACTTGTGTGTGACCACTTGGCTAGCATTCCAGTATTATTTGGAACATGAACTGCAACAGCCATTGATTGCTTTTGTTTAAAGTTATAGCAGTTCACTTTCCAAATAAAAGTAGAATATCAACCCAGTGCTTATACACAAATAAATATTGCTCACTTTCACATCATCAGTTCATGATGCCATTATTGGCCATTTTTAGAACTTATTCTTAAGATGGAATCAGATGGGGAAAGATACCATATGCATCGGCACTACTGTAGTGCACTTGGCTGTGACTTCTGTGTCCTTAGCAGCTTCGCAAAGTACCACTGGGAGGAGTGATTTAATGAAACCTGGTCTTGCAGGGCCAAGGGGCCAATATTTTTGACCAGCAAGAATAATGACACCATTAAGGGGCCAACATGCCCCTTATGCATCCTCTCAGAGCTCAGAGATGGTCCTTACAGCAGGAAAGAGATTAATTCTACCCACAACAATGTCTGTCCATCCACTGTGATCTATCCCTCTCACACAAAGTATTTGTGGATGGCTTGGTCTGAATGGGTAACTAAGACCCATTAGCTTTACAAAACAACAATAACCGTTACTTATTTATACTTGTACCCTTCCTGCCTTCCCACTAGAACATACTGTAGTGCCCAAGGTGCCTTAGAAGAATACAAAACCTGTAAAACAGATTAACCATCAAATCATAAAATCAAATCAAGACAACTCCACTGTAAAAACCATTAATTGTTAGCAAACTATTATTGTTAGATCTACTCCTAGTGGGAAGGAAAACTGCTGGAACTGATTTGTTGATAGGTATTTACATATCCGGATTTTCCTTGTGGAATCAATTGGGTGTAGTGATGAATGCTTGCAGCTTATAATGCACTGCTGATTAATCCTTTGTTTAAAGCTACCCTTTGTATTGCCAAACCTTTGATTCACACAATAGTTCCTACACACCACTGAGGTGACATACCTTTACGACAATTACCATGTAGATTTGAAAAAGTGACTTGGATCTTGCAAGACAGAATTTTGCATTTGGAACCGCTAGCAACAGGTGAGACCAGGTCAAATCTGTCTCTTGGCTTCCCCAAGTCATGAACCCTGAAGCATCAAGGGATATATATGCAAGGAGTAGGGATGGAGGAGAAAAACCAGTTTGTTTTCTGCAAAAAGCCTTACAAAAATGTGTAAAATCCATCATGAACAGAATGGTAAGAATATCCTTTAAAAAAAGAAAGGAAGAAAGAAAAAAGAAAATTCTTAACCTATCATTTTAAATATGTGTATTTAATTCTTTCAAAATATTTGACTAGTTTACTGTTTTTATTGTGTTTTTAATGATGTAAGGTGCCTTGAGTCCTTTTTTTTTAAAGGAGAAAGGCAAAATATTTTACATTAAATCAATCAAACAAACAAATAAAGTGAAAGATTGTATATGGGACAAAGCAAAACTGGATGATCCATAGAAGGGAACAGCACCAATGGGGCTCACAATCGACTGAGGAGACATCCCAGCCCCCTCCCTTCTTTCCACTAAGCACCCTATCATCTCCAGACAAAAAACTTCCAAGATCCTGCTTGTTTCACATTTTACTGAACAAAAAATGCCAGCAGCAAAGTCCTGAAAAAGGTATGGGCTTGAAATATACTTTACAAATCCACACATTTCTTTGTAACTCTGT